ACACACACACACACACACACGCACACACACACACAAACACAATATATTGAAGAGTATATTTATCTTTTAATATTTTTAACGTAACATCCCACATCGCTCAGGGGAGTGGATCCTGGAAGCCTTATATGTATATTCTCATCTCTACCTAGCACGAGGCCTTTTGCGAGCTCACTGGCTTCGGGTTCCATTGGAACTCCGAAGTTAAGCGAGTAGCGCATGAGAGCATTCCCATGATGGGTGACCCATTAGGAAGTTCTCGTGTGAACTCCCAGAAACAAAACCGTGAGGGTGTGTTGGGGTCCTAAAGCGGACAATATCGTGCTACAGTGGAGTCGGGCTCGGGAAATGGTCCCGCTTGGGCCGGGATGTGACATTTAATCTCACAAATTATGTGTTTTAAAATCTCATTAATATAAGTAATTACAGATTTCAATTTTTGATATAAAAAATATAATTATATATATAAACAGTACCAGTGTTCTAAAAAACGGCCTAGGCGCTGGGCAATGGTGACTCAGTTGGGCTCTAGGCGGGCTAGGCGGTCATAGGCGGGTTATGTGGTGCTAGGAGGCTAGGCGGGTTTTTTGTATTTTAAATTTTTTTTTAATTTTTTTTTAAATGAAAAGAAAAAAAATCCTATCTACATTACTATATTTCCTTATTTTCCTCCTATTTTGCATTTTATGTGGTTTTAAATTGTGAACTTATTGTACATGTGTCATCCTACAATACTCCTCACTATAGTTAAATGGCAAATATGTTTAATGTGTGTTTAAATTTTGGGCTTGTTGAATACTCTTTTTGCATTTTATCATTCTTTTATTATCTTATCCATGAATTTCATATAAGTATAATTTTTTTGTAAGTGTCAATATGCACTTATTTACAAGATATACAAGAAATTTATTTAAATCCATCTAGGCCGCCTATACCCCGTCTAGCCGCCTAGGCACTAGGCTCTAGGCGCCAACCCGCCCTCTTATATATATCTGTTGCATGTATGTGTATGTATAGATGAGGTTGTTCATCGGCTTCTCTGCTGCCTAATTTGAATCCATTTTTTTGTTTCAATTGTTGGAGGATGAGAAAACTAATTATTCTCCTCTTTTTATGGACTTCGGGATTTTGCATTGCAGGCTTCATTCACTAACCCTAAATTTTTAATGTTGTACAACCATAACTGGTTGTATATTAATTATTTGTGTTGTTATACAGAACATTTTTGTATTGTTGTACAAAACGTTTTTCATTTGGTGTTTATTATTGGACAACAATACGTTTAATTGGCCTGTGTGTTTTCTTTAAATTGGTTGAACTAAGATGTGCATTTTTTAGATTAATCTAATTGAAAATACATTACGGAATAAAAAGCCGCCATGGCGGTGGCCAATTTTCTAGTTTGTCCCCATAAGCAAAAATAGTTACAAATAAAGTCTAAATTGTATGGTTTTTTGTCGAGACTACTTGGGCGAGAGAAAAAAAAACTAGTAAAAGTCTAAATGAGATAGTTGGCAAGAGCATAGCTCCACCTTAAAATTATAGCTCTGTAAAAAATTATTTTTAAATAAACAGTGTCAGGCCATATTCATGTACGATCTCCAATACAAGGTTCTAAAAAAATGCTAGGCCCTAATCAGGCAGCGGGAGAAGGCCTAGCGCCTAGGCGGACTAGATGGATTTGAGTAAGTTTATTATATATTATATAAATAAGTATTTGTTTACACTTAAAAAATTATACTTGTACTGAAAATTTGGAAGAGATAAAATTCAAAATAGAAATAATCCATAAACTAGAAAGCATACAATTAATATTTTATTTTTAACTATTCGGAGTGAGTTCCTTGGCTTGGACATGACATTTAGTTCATGTCAGTATTCTTGGATCCAGGGGAGAAAACATTCGATGAAATAATCTCTTAGATGTATTGCCACGTCCCTAAGGATTAGGTCCACTTTTTACAAGTCAATGAAATCTTTATGCTCCAAATCCGGATTCAAATAGTCATTTATTTGGTACCTCCCAAGGAGTAGGAAACAAATTTTATAGGGAACATAAACTAAAGAATACAATTAATATATATATATATATATATATATTTTTTTAATGAAAAAAGGTTGTATGGGTTAAATGAATTGTAAGAGAAACAATTTAATATGAAAACATGCTGACATTGGTAACTGACTCATTAACTCTGGTGAGTGGCGACTCCTCGAAGTGAACGTCTTTCTTTGATAAAAAAATAGCAATGTGAACCCGCTACCCTTTTGTTTTTTCCTCTAAAACTACAAACCAAGTGTGGTGAGATCGTGAGAGATGCGACACGAGACGACACAGAGATGTAGTGCAGATACGGCAAGAAACAAGTCTGGGAGATGCAGTGATGACGAGAGATGTGGATGTGAAGGGATGAAGAAAGCCTGCAACTCACGGTGAAAGTGCAAAATCGACGGCGAGATTTCAAAATCATGGATTGCCTACCACCGCCTAAACTGCCTAGAGCGCCTAGGTGGCTGCGTAAACTGTCCTCGATATCCATCAACAATTTGGCCTAAATTGGATCGGCCTTTCACCATTCAGCACCTAGGCGGCCACCTAGGTTGACTTTTAGAACATTGCACTAACCAAAGGAACTAAACATAGCCCCCTCGGTAATTTATTAGTTTTAATTTTATATTTTAAATGTATTGGTTAATTTAATTAAACTACCGTTGGATGCTTTCAAATCTAGCCGTTGAGTTTGAATCAATTATTGCAACTGAGAAGCTGGGCCCCAGAAAAGGGGCTAAGGCCATCTCCAATCGAAAGGGCTAAATATAGCCTCGTCCAGAATTAGCCCTATAAAAAATTATTTTTAATGATTAGTGTTAGGCCATGCTCATATATCATTTCCAGCTGAAGGGGCTAAACATAGCCCTCCTCAATAATTTATTACATTTAATGTATACTTTAAATATATTAGTTAATTTAATTAAACTACCTTTGGATGTCTTCAAATCTGGCCGTTGGATTTGAATGAACCATTGCAACTGAGGAGCTGAGACTCATATAAAGGGCTAACAAGGGGGTTACATTTGGCCAGCTTGATGTTCATTTGGCTAAATAATGGCCTGGTGGGCTCTATAGAACTATAGCCTATTCATCGATTAGAGATGAGTTTTTGGACAAATCAGGTCATCTTTTGGCTTTTGGACGTTTAGACCTCTCCATTGGAGATGGCCTAAGAGGAGGGCTACATTTGGCTAGCCTGATGCCCTTTTGGCCAAATAATAGCCTGGTGTAGGATTGGGTTCGGTTCGAAACGGTTCGGTTTTTTTCCAAAGCCGAAACTGAACAGAAATTTGGTTCGATTCAGTTCGGTCCAATTTTTTTTCGATTTGATTTTTTTCGGTTTTGATTTTTTTTGGTTCGGTTTCAGTTTTCTTTTTCGGTTTTTTCATGATTTTTATTTTTAATATCTGGAGCTTGAAGCAGTTTTTTTTCCCCCATTCGGTTGCAAATTTACCCTTTCTCTCCGCACTCAGCAGATCCAGAGCCCTCTCAAGCAGAGATGAAGGTGTTTGCTGCATACTTGTTGGCAGTGTCGGACGACAAGACCACCACAGCTGGTGGACGTGGTGCTGTTCCAGTTGCTGCAACTAGTTGTGGTGGTGGTGCTACAGTTGAGGCAAAGAAAGAAGAGAAGCAAATAATGATATCAGGGGAGAAAAAAAAGAAAGGGAAAGAAATGGGTGAGACTCTCACAACATAAAAAATCAAACAAATTTGCAATACGAAACAAAACAACAACCCATAAATTTACACCAAAATTTCAGATTCCCTCCATAGAGTTTACTTTAAAAAAACCCATAAATCGACAAAACAAATAAAAGAGATTGGAGATCTTACCCTGGAGTGAGAAGATCGAGAAACGGAGAGAGAAGAATGGACAAATTGGAGGCATGGACAAGGAGGGAGTCTGGAGGCGCAGGGGACAAGAGAGATAAGAGGGGAATGAAAAATAAAAAAGGAATGGCTGCTACCACTAGTGGCTACGGTTTTGTTGATTTCTAATTCCACAAAAAACTATAGATTTAAATCTTTATAAATAGTTTAGTCATACAATCATAATAAAACAGAACTTGTTGCCAAGTTGGTTTCAATGAAACTTATCAACCTGGAGCGCATGGGTTCGAACCCTCATTCCTCTGGGATTTTAGAGATTTTTTTTTAATTTTTATGATTTTTATAATAAAAATATTATAAAAAAATAATTAAATATATATATATATATCGGTTCGGTTCGGTTCGGTTTGGTTTCTGAACCTCAAAAATCGAAACCAAACCAGCCATATTCGGTTCGTTTCGGTTTGATAGTTTTCAGTTTGGTTTATTTCGGCCTCGGTCCAGTTCAATTCTTGGTTTTTTCGATTTTTTGAACCCACCCCTAGCATGGTGGGCTCCATAAAACTATAACTCAGTCATCGGTTAGAGATGAGTTTTTTGACAAATCAAGCCATTTTTTGGCTTTTGGACCTCTAGCCCTCTCTATTGGAGATGGCCTAAACTTCTAATACTTACGGCTGGTTTGGGATTCTAGTGGTTTTGGAAAAAAAAAAAAAAAAAAAAAAAACAGCTTATTAAAATAATCTGGAATATCAAATGTGCTTGGTAAAACACAAAAAAAAAAAAAAAAAAAAATTTACTTTTTTAAAAAACTGATGCCAATGACAGTAGAAAAGCATAGAAAAGCAGAAGCAAACTCTATCATGCTTCTAAAAAAATGATTTTTCTTTAAAGCATAGTGATCAGTGCCTATTTAATGAATTTTTCAAATAGCAAGTACAACCCCACATATTTTGCAAAATTACAATCAATGCCCATATATTATTCTCTTTGATAATATTATTATATCACATTAAATACCATATCCTTTTTAGTCATTTAACATATTCACAACAATTTATATAATAGTTTATCAAACCGTCAGACACTTTTTTTTTTTTGTTAAAAGCACTTTTACTAAAAAAGAAAAAGGTTTACCAAATACTCAACAACTTAATTTTAGAATCATTTATTTTCACACCACATCATAGATTCATAAGCCCTTAAAAAAAAAAAAAAAACATTACAATACCAAACTAGCCATTAATTGGAGCTAGCTTTGACATCTGTTGCCACCATTTCACCATTGAACACCTTTCTTTGCTTCTGGGACTCAGTTGGAGTTTTCACATCTGTTGCCCATCCAATTGCTTGGAGAATTTTGATGACGTACCAAGTTAAGTCAATCTGCCACCATTCCAAACCTTGTCGAGCTGAGTAGTCAAAGGCATGGTGATTGTTGTGCCACCCTTCTCCAAGTGCAACCATTGCCAACCACCTGAAACAGTTAAAATTGCATATAAACATGTAATTAATTTCGATATTTATCAAAGAATACATATATAGTACCAAGCGAGGGAATTTAGGTACAATACACACCAATTGTTCCTGGACAAATCACCGGTGTTGAATGCTTGTTTCCCCCACATGTGGCCAGCCGAATTTACCAGCAAAGTTCCGTGCAAAACACTTACTATCCTAACTCCCTGCAATCACAAAAGCAATTTAAGCTTCATCTAGAACAACTGTGCAGACAATGAGGTTCCACCTTCTAAATTAATTAGCAATTTGGTGAGTAACCCAAATTACTTATAAGTACATGCAAAGTCGCTTTTTTTTTTTTTTTTTTCAATGTGGGATTTCTCAAAAAAATGATCTCGCTGGACCACATTATTCATGCGGCACAACTAACAAATAAGGGGAGTGAACATGGTTAAACTGGTCCCATCCAATTAGTCTAATCTTATACGGAATAGTTTCACACTAAAATCGCTCCTCCAAGTACTCTGTAGTACAAAATAGGTGGTGCAAAATAGATCATCTACTAGTACATCTCTTGTGGGTAGAGATTCCGAGTTTGAATCTCCATCCCTCGTTAGTCAAAGAAGAAGAAAAAAAAAATAAGAAGTGAACTATATGTGGTAAAGCCTTGCGACAATAATGTAAAACCATTCTCTAATGAGAAAAAAAAACAAGAAGTTAAACATGAGAAGAAGCAATTAATCTCACCAGTCCCCAAACCAAGAAGGGAAGGCCGCCAAAGGCATATAATAAACTTCCAGGTAGAACAACTGCATGTATAACATACGTATGATGAAGAAACCTATAGAAGGCCTGCTTTTTCAGATCTTGGACGTTCTTTAGTCCTCCATACTGCAAATTTTCCATTATTAATTTAAGAGTTCAACAACATTTATTTAATCATAGGATGGTATTCGAATGTCTGTGTGTAGAAAAGGAGAGAGGGGGACCACGAAGAGAGAGAGAGAGAGAGAGATGCAGTTACAGTTGTGTATGCTGTTACCTTTCCAAACCGAGAACTGCTATCGATGATCCACCCAATGTGACTATACCAAAAACCTTGAATGGGGCTATGAACATCTTTCTGAGTATCGGTATACTGGTGGTGGTAACGGTGTGAGCTCACCCATTCTATCGGACTACCCTGCATATATATGTGCAACACCCCAAACTCAAACATTGCTCACAATACTACTACTTAAACACAGAACGATGCTAAAAAAGTAACAAAACCTTGCTCACAATGAGATTTTCACACACACATATATATGTACACTTATAATATACCTGAAGTGACAGAACTGCAATGTAGGCAAACAAGTACTCGAGCCATTTCGGAAGCCTGAAACTTTTGTGTGCAAGATTTCTATGGAAAGACAGAGTCACTCCTAAACCCGTTAACATATGGAGTCCAAAGGCCAACCAAAATGCACCCCAAGTGAAATAAAAGGGTGCAAATAAACAAAGAAAGTGCATAGATGAAAGGACAGTCGCTATGACTGCGTCCTGTAAATTCCATTCTCTCCCCAAGAATTCTCCACAGGGCATCATCACAATCTTCACCCAACGCCCCATGATATATGGTAGCAGACTCTTACTTCTCGTACTCTATTTCTTTAACTGGTTTAGCAAGAAGCTGAGCTACTACTCGATCTAAAGAACGTTGTATGAAAATGCTGATGAGTTTGGAAAATGTTGGTCGGGCAAACCATTAGATATATAGAGAAGCAATTTAATATCGCTCTCCATTGTCGGGATTGGGTACCTAACTTCTGTACCAATTTAAAACCAAGGTTTTTTATTTTTTTGAACAAACAATATTTATCTACACTAGGGGTGGATTTAGCCTCACAATGAGCTAATAATAATGTGGTTTAAATTCATCTTTAGCGAGAATCGAACCTAAGACCTCTCACTTACAAGTGAAGAGGAATATCATTAGACTGTAGTACTAAGTGACACAGTTTTTGCTTATTATAGATGTATTTTTTTTTTCTATTTTTTTTTAAACAATTATAGATGTATCTTTGGCAGCTTGCAATGGTAGTACAAATGGATTTTTCTAGTCTCGGTTTTATCCCTTCTGATATTAAAGGAGTTGGCGTCCGGGTTTCATGGTGTATAATTTCAAATATCCTGCGTCCGGGTTTCATGGTGTATAATTTCAAATATCCCGCGAACTTGTAGTGGTGTGGCTCATCGTTTCACCTATTCTAGCTTTTATAGTCGTGATCAGTAGTTCTGTTTGAAGAACTTCCGGATGCATTAGGGATATACTCAATCAAGATGTGTCGATGAGTTATTTGTCAATAAAGCTATCGTTTTCCCTTAAAGAAAAATATAAAAGTCACTTAGTGCTACGATCTAGTGGTATTCCTCTTCATTTATAAGTAAGAAGTTTTTGGTTCGATTCTTGCCAAAGGAGAATTTGAATCACATTATTGCTAGCCCATTGTGAGGTTAGGCTTACCCCTTTCCCTTAGTGTAGATAATGTCCTTTGTTCAAAAAAATAAAATTAAAAAAAATAAAAAACAACTTTTATATTACTCCATTGTTGTCTTATTGTTGAAATAACATCACTCATTATGAGAGATATTAGACTCACCACATTGTCTTCTTTTTCCACCCACGTTATAATCCCACCCACCTTAAAATGTTAAAAGATTAAAATGCTATTTCCCCACCCACTATTATTCTCAAAAATAACCTTTGATATATACATACATGTGAAATTATAAAATTGTCTCTTGAAAAATATAAACAAATAATATGTAAATGAAAACCACTAAGGTCTGCAAATTCAAATGGAAACGACAGAGGTATCCAAATTCAAAAGAATTCGATAACGACAAATTCAAATGACCCACACACAAATTATTCTTCTACATCTTCCGTAGAAGCGTCATCTTCCACCTTTTCAATAACAAAGTCATCTTCTAAGTCCATTTATATTTTTTTACTTTCTTTGAATGAAAGGAGATGAAAATATAAGTTAGGGTTTAAGGTAGACAAATATTCTTCCACGCCCAACCCTTTTTTTTAAAAAAAAAAATTAAGCAAAACAAGATAATTAATGTCCTTATCAGTCCTTTTGCAAATGGACAAATTTGTAGTTAAAAATTTTATTAAAAGGTGGGTGGAAAAATAAGACATTGGGGTGAGAATAACATCACTCATTATTAATTACTTTATCATTTTATTTTAATACCAATTTTACCCCTTAAGTAATTAGTAAAGTAACTAATATTATCTTTAATTTTAGCATTATCTTTCGTTAATGATAATATTCCTCTTCTTTTTCCTTAATTAAAGTTTGTTGCAAGCTTGCTATATTTTTGGTTTGCTACCTAACTTTTTTGGTTTTTTACCTCACTCATCATTTTTTTGTCGTGTTTTCTTCAGTTGTTTCCTCAGGGATCATATACATGTGATGTACGTCATCTAATTTCTTTTTTCTTTTATGGAACGCTGCTCCAAATTAAGCATGTTATTTATCTACATATCACACATGATTTTTTTAATCAACCTCTACCATGTCTTTCAGCTTTGGTTGGGTTTCGTACCTCTTATCTACCTATATTACATTTTTTTAATCAACCCTCATTAATCAAAGTCCTTTGGCTTTGTCTAGAAATAAAACATGAGATATTATGGTATTTAAACCGGCACTTCTAATAAGCTATAATAAATATACATTAATTGGAAACAATATAAATTTAAATTTGAAGGCTTATGCGCCACATTGATCTTTTTGTAAACTTTATTCTCTACCTAATACGTCAAATTTAAGTTATTATTAATTACATTATTTCCTTTTTATAATTGTAATGAGTATTTTTAAAACAAAAGATAAACAAAAATGGTTAATTTTAATTTACTAATCAGAAGTTTCTTGATTTTCATAAAAAAAATAAAAAATAAAAAAATTAAAAAAAAAACAAAAGGTTAAAGCCAAAGTTTTAGAATTTATAAGTCGGGAATTACCTGTTGTTGAGTAGGTAAGAGCTACAAATGCATTGTCATCGTGATGGAGAAGCATGGAATATTAAATAGATATCTACTTTACCATGCCTTGTCAAGTTGTGGTTGATGGTTATAGTAATATCTTTCCGTATGGGTGGGTGAGAGCGAGTCCGGATCCTCGCCGGATTCTTTTGCTGAGAATTCGAGAATTCACGAATCGTGTTCATTCATTGTGCGATTAAAAATAATTTTAAATATTTTTATTTAAAAATAAACATAAATAGTACTTAACAAAAGCTGACGATAGAGTGTACAATGAATGGATACGATTCACGAATCTCCAGAATCCATACCAAAAAGATCTGGAGAGGATCCTGTTGGGGTGAGAGCAACCTACTAATATTGCTTTTCTATGGCTTTGTTTCCACTTTCCGTTGATCCTTGTGTTGGGTGGACCCGGGGAGGGGAGCAAAAGGATGACGATTTGCAAAATATTTGAGTGGGTTAGAGCTATGTATTAATGTTGCATTATTTTTCCCACGTACATGAGAATTTTTAATTTTGACTCATATGGATAATGATGATGTATTATATTTGTATTGTGTTCAATACCTAGTAAGCGAACTCATTATGCTGTCTAACTCAATCCTTCCACCTTTTCGAGTACATTATCTTTCTTCCTTAAAACTAGAATAGCGTTGTAAAAGGGAAAAAAAAAAAATAGCTCTTTTTTTTATTTTTCAACAAAAACAGGCCTTTCCTCATTAAATCCTTTGTGAGTATATTTTCTCATTAATCCTCAGATAGGGTAGGCTGATATGAATGGATGCTATATTTCTGAAACGGAATAAAAAATACACACATTGCATGTAACCAATCAAGGGCCAGAGACATCAGAGTTTGTAATCTTGTTTAATTTTATAAATTTAAAGCAAATATATTATATATAAACATAACAAAATAATAAACATTAATTGAAATAAACATACATAAATTAAGGGATAATTTGCTAATCCCTGGTCATCCCCCAATGGTGGTTGAAGGTGCTCGCGAATGATATATTTGTGAAAACTAGTTCATTTGAGCAACATCTATGCATGCAATTAGCAATTAAAAGGCGGAATCATACTTGTATGCATTCAAAAACAAAACTTTACCCATGAAATTCAAGGCCTAGTAATTATGGTGAACCAAGGCTCAACTCAAGAACAAAGTGAGTTGAGAAATATTATACCTTTGTTGATTCCTCTTTGCATAAGCAACGGCTAATCACCCATGAGAGAGGGCCTTCATTCCTTATTTCTTAGCTCCATGGATTTCTTGGAGAAGGATGGATGAATGGATTCTCCAAGTTCCCAAAATAGGGAACCCCTAAGTCTCCACACCAAGAGAGAGTATTGAGGAAGAGATGAGTGACCTAGAGGAAGAAAGATTGCTAGTATTTTCTTCTAGGGTGGCTGGCCTCTTAGAGAGAAAAGGAGAGCTTGTGTTCTCTCTAATTTCCTCAAAGAAAACCCTCATGATGAAATGGCTATAAAGATGCATTTATACCACCTCACATTTGAGTGGCAAACTTGCAATTAAGCCAAGTTCACTACCCCTCACTCTTATGGCCGGCCTTGATGGGTTTATTGGGCTTTCAAGCCCTTTATGTTTTCAAGTTGTCATACAACTTGAGTTATTGAACTTGACATTCAAATCCCATTGGACCTTGAGGCCCAAAACTAACCCGAGGTCTAATACGAACTTTTTTGTTTGATTAATTAACATATTAATTAATCCTAGCTATAAATAATTAAACCATTTAATTATCCTTACTCATCTCCGTTGTTTCTTCAATATCTACCTTACACAGTGTAAGATCCATTAGGTTCCTTTTAGCGAGGTAGTGGGCGATTAGAACTCTTCAAATCGATTATGAATTGAAACATACTTTCAATTCTCCCTTTAGTGATTATACACCTTTAGGGCTTCTACAAACCATGAGTGACACCTAGCAGTATATCATAGTTACCCAAGCTAATCAGAAGAGGTGGAGAACCTATTCAGTTTAGGATTACAATGCAATACGATCTTTCTCTAATACAATACTCTTGACCACATTGTTTGGTTTGATAGTTTATTCATGTCTACTATCCAATGTGATTCGTTTACTTATATGATTAACTTGAATGTGATTTGGAACGACTTCCTAAATCTCATTCATACTCTGGCCAGAGATTCTTAATCATATCATAAAGTATTATCCCTCAAACGGTTTGAAGGTTAGAGATCCCTTGTTGTGCATTCACTTGCCTCCATGGCTAAGTGACTTGACCCTAACTATGCCTTGGACACCTTTTGATGGAGTGACTTTGACATAGTCAAAGATCAAGGACCTAACCATAAGACAACTATAATGCCTCAGGTCAAATGACTACTTTTCATTATCCTAACCATGAGTTCTCATGTGACATGAGTATGAGTACTCCTTATTGATCCCGTTCAGTGGACTCATTCTTTATTGAGCACTTACATGCTTGTCTTGGTGTCAGTCACACCAATGACTCGAGACCAGTCACTTTCCCTTAGAGAAGACATAACACGTACTGATCTTAACGGACTGTCAATGCCTAATTGGCAATCCTATGATCAGGAACGTTTAGTATATGTATACAAAAGAGAATGGTCTCATGAATCTAACTTCTTTAGATCACATTCTCCCAATTACATATTCCTTGGAC